ATAGATCTCTGCTGACTCTTTCCGGCTGGACTGAGGCTTTATAGTTCGCACGTCTTGGAAGTGCTCCATTAGTCTGTTTTGGAGAAGATGGGCTTCCCGTCCATCCCAGAATTTACAGAGGATGGTTCCCCTTGGCCGCAAGATACTTTGGGACAGATCCAAAAGGGTCAAGCACAAGTTAATCAACTTCTGATGATCTAGCTCTCGGATCCCTGTGGCATTAGGTGCCATGTCACTCAAGATAACATCTGCCCTCTCTGTAGGAAGGAGCTCCTGGATCTTCTTAAGCGTGACTGGATCTGTAATATCAGCATTGGGAAGGAAGACTGCTCCTTCCAGAGGGGAAATATGAAGAAGGTCAACTCCAAGGACAAAACCAACAGGGGCGTTAGGATCTAGGAAACAAAGAGTTAATGCAAGAATGGAAGATGCAAGACACCTCCTTACCTCCAAATTAATCACTCTTATTACAAGAGCTGCTAACAATACAAGTCATATTTGTGAGTTTCCCCAGAGTTAATATACAAACCTACACCACATTGACAAAGTGCTGTCTAGTCCTCCTATAACCAGAATGCTCATTTATTATGTTCATCTCACCCTAGTTATTTTTTCAAATTTAAAAAAAATAAAAGCAAGCTTTCTTTAAAGATCGATAGTCCAGAAAGCCTCTTCATCCATCTCTACCCAGTGTGTCAACAGTGAGACTGTGCTGGAGTCAGCCAAGAATAACAGTTCTTTGCCCTGTTATACAGTACCTTACAAACATTAATGAATTAAAACACAACACCTCTAGGAGGTCAATGTTACCACCATGTTTATAGAAAGGGAAATTAAGATACAGAAAAGCTAAGCTTCTTGCCTAAGGTTACCCACTAAGGGCTGGTCTCAGAGAAGTGGATTTACTACAGCGATGGAGCAACCTCTTCCATCACTGTAGTAAGTATCTACAATACAGCATGTTTCTAGCATAGACCTATCCTAAGCTAGTGGCAGAGATGGGGACAGACCCCCTTTTCCCCTATGCCCAACCCTCTATAATACCCCATAGAGTAGCTCAATGTAAGAGCTTTACCCACTTCTACAATAGATCAGCTATCTCCTGGGTTCTCACAACACATTTTTGGTGGCCTCACAGTTGGCCTCACCAACTCTTGCTGGTGGCCGCTCTGTCAGTTTTTCCTAAAATACTTAATTAACTTTAGGAAAAATAAATAAATATGCTCATATACGCATTGGCACCAACTCCAGCCCCGGAGCACCCACGGAAAAAAATTAGCAGATGATTAGCACCGACCAGCAGCCAAACCCCCCCACAGGGCCTCCCACCCACCTGCAGGCAGCCCCACTGATCAACTCCTCCCCCTCCCAGCGCCTCCCGGCCCGCCACAATCAGCTGTTCCACGGCGTGCAGGAAGCGCTGGGAGGGAGGGGAGGAGCAGGGATGGGGCATACTCAGGGGAGGGGGCGGGAAGAGGGGAGGCGGTGGCAGAGTAAGATGGGACAGGGATGAGGCCTTGGGGTAAGGGGTGGAGTGGGGGCCGGGCTGGGGGCAGAGCAGGGGCAGGACAGGGCCTTTGGGTGGAGTTGAGTTGGGACCTGGGGCAGAGCGGGGGCTTGGGAGAAGATGTGGAGTGGGGGCAGGCCTGGGGCAGAAGGGGGGTTGAGCACTCCCCAGGGTAAAGAGGAAATTAGGATATATGCATATACGTGTCCAAATCATTGTAATTTATTTATGTAGGATTTTTTTTTTTTGCAAACTCAATAATAAAAACAACATACAGTTGTCTCTATTCTTTACTGGACCTAAACAAAACAGAAACACAAATAAGGTGCTTTGCACATTCTTGTCTTTTTTCTTGTTGTTTCTTTTGCTTTTTTGATTTTTTTTTTAATTATTAATTATTATTATTATTATTATTATTATTAGAGGAGACTTGCTAGAGATTAAGTCTGTGAAAAGTGATATTAACAAACACACAAATATCACTTTTCACAGCAGACTTACTCAGCCGCCCGGCAAGCCCTAGAGGGGGTGGTGGGTTTGGAGGCAGAGGGGCACTGGGGGAAGGCAGAGGAGGCCAGGGTGATGGGGGGTGAACTCAGGGGTAGAGCCCACCACCACCTGGCCGGGGAATGAAGCTCGAAGCCCCGTGGCTGGAGCCTGCCACCTGCCACCCCAGGGCTGAAGCCGGACCTCACTGCCTCCGGGAAGGTGGGAACTAGGTGCCTGCTCCTCCAGCTTGTGTGTCTCCAGAGGGGAGCAGGGCCCAACCATTGCTGGCAGTCCCGCTGGAGGGTCTGCTGCTTTACCCTCCTGCCACCCCCATCACTGCCCAGGAGGCTGTGGTCGCAAGAAAAGCCCAGGTGGCTGCATTTGAAAAATTCTGGATACTCCCTAAAGATGGCTTCTCCACCCCATAGGAATTGCTCCTCTTTATTACCATCATGGTTACAAAAAGCCCCACATACTTTAAGCTTTATACAGCTATTAATGACTGTGCTGAATGCAAGCACACACCCACATTCAGCTGTCTGCAGCACAGCTAAATCTATTAGTAGAGCAGAAGACACTCCTCACAGACTGCAGGTTGAGTCAGCATTGTCTAGTTCTTCTGGGTGCTAAGCGTGTGCACTCACCAGTGCCCAAAGCATTGACTCGCTGTACCGCAACCTGACTCCAAGCTCCAGGAGCTGCCCCGCAGTCTATCACAGAGAGCCCTGGACGAAGAACCTTATGTTTGTCATCTATCTCCAGCAGTTTGAAAGCACTCCGGCAACGATAATTATGTTGTTTTGTTGCCCTCACAAATGGATCCTTAAGATGCCGCTCCAGCCAGCGGTGCTCTGCCCCAGTTTTGCTCTTTAGACATCCTGCTGCAGTGTGGAACCTTTGGCATTGAAGGGAAGTGCTCACCAACCTCTGATAACTATAAAAAGAAAGGTAAGTTAATCTGTTTCTGCATAACCACTGTGCACTTGACAACCATATGTCTCTAAAGTAACAGACTCCAATTCTAACCTCATTCCTTTCAATCTATCAGTAAGCTCTTCTACAGATGCGACTCCTGAAATTTACTGACTCATTTTAGAGACTATTGGGCACCTGCAGTTGTTAATTATAATTATTTTTTATTTGCATTGTAGTAGCATCCAAGAGTCTCAATTATGGACCAGGATTCTATTCTGCAACAGCCCTGTACAAACACAGAACAAAAGGATGGTCCCGTGCCCCCAAAGAGCTCAGCATTTACAGTGAGATTTTCGTATCCTAAGAACAGTACCAACATTATCCAGTCCTTGAAACAACGCTGCAAGATCGATATTATTGAATACCAGGCCGTCGGATTGCTGTGAGACGGTCACATGTGAAGCTAAATGGTTCTTCCTGGTCCAGTTTCTAGGGAATAGGTGTTCACCTATTTCAACACACGCCCCATCACTGTTAGCACAGAGAGCACCTTTGTTGGCAGTGGCAAAGGTACTGTGAAACAAATGAATCTGGATGCCCCTCTTTCGCCTAAAAATAGTTCTTCAAACATAGTGAAAGGACACCATGTTGTAGCTGTTCTGTGAATATAGAGAGGCATTCAGTCACCAGAGCTGTCATTAAAGAACTTCACCCCAACGTTAAATTCACTAAGAAAGAAGGTTAGTTAACATTACTCCTCCAAAAGTCCCATTTTCCCACTAATAAATTTAGTCTAAATTCTCCTTCATCTTTCCCAATAACAGCGGTTTTAAAAACATTGATTCATAGATTTCAAGGCCAGAAGGGACCACCCATTAGGATTACCTAATCTCACCTCCTGCATAACAAGACCATAGAATTTCACCCAGTAATTCCTGCATCCAACCCTTATCTTGTGTCTGAGGTACAGCATGTTTTTAGAAAGCTATTCCATCTTGTTTTAAACCTTCAAGTGATGGAGAATCTACCACATCCCTCTGTAAGTTGTTCCAATGGTAAAATCACCCTCACTGTTAAAAGTTATATGTACCAAGTAACAGAAATCTGCATGTGACATAAGGACCCAGAGACAGGGTAACAGCCCCACAAATAGTGGATTAGATTTTCTGATTGGGTAACTCCACATATAAGTGCTGCTTTTGAGACAATCACAAATTCCAATATCAGCTTTGGGCCTATGTAGCATTGGCACATTGTATCACATTATTCAGGGGCCAAGACCCATTGTCACATGGTATGCAAGGATGCTGCAAAGAAATATATCAGCTCAACATCACAGTGTCAGACTCATGTGGTAGAATTTCATCCCCATAACATACTGATTTCCCCATTTGGGACAGTCATAATTGTTTTTAGCATACAATGGTTAATCCTCTGCATCACTACCAAAAATTTCTTTCAGTTCCAGAGATTTCAAACAGAGTTCATTGAGTAAATTCAACAATGACTCCCCGCCTTTTTTCTCCCCAACTGTTCCTATTTCTAGATTTCAAATATTAACAAGTCTGAAGTTTTTCCCACTTTAAAGCAACAAAAGTGGTACCCCTGCCCTATTTGATGCGACAGGCCTTGGGGAAAGGGTGTTTGCGCGCACACACACACACACACACACACACACACACACACCTTCCAGGCCCAAATAGGGGCTCAATGGGAAAAGCGAAGAACAGAACAAGAGATATGGGATGAAGTCTTATTCTAGCACTGGGGAGTCACACCCCGCCCCCCTGCAATGCACCACGGCGACAGGGGGCACCCTGTGAGCAGCAGCAGAGACCGCCCTTAAACCCCTCTCTCTAGGGGACGGTATTGTGGCTACCCACAAGTGTCTCTGGACCGGGCTGTCACTGGATTCAATTCCCTGCTCCCCGATGTCTGACTCGCCTCGCTGGGCCCCCTGCCCGCCCACTCACACCTCCCGCCTAACGCGGGAAGAACAAAGCGATCAAACCGCGCAGGGACCCCAGGGCTGAGCTCCCCGATCCCTCCCCCCACACCCCTGGGAGTAGCACCAGAGCCCCGCACTGGGCCCCCTCACCGGCTCATGGCTCCGGCCCACAGCGAAGGGCGCCCGCTGCCCCGCTCCCAGTGTCTCTTCCGTGGCCTCCCCGCCCAGAAACACGCTCTGCGCCGCGGGTTCCGGCTCAGCGCCGGGTGGGGAGAGAGCGGCTTTCCGGCTCTGCGCGCCGCAGCCTCTCTCGGGCGCCCGTCTCGGCTCCTGCTGCCAGTCGGGCCCTTTTCAACGGAGCAACCGCCGGCGCAGGGCCGCTCCACGTGGGGCCGGGGCGGGCCAGGTGAGATAGGGGTCGGAGCGGCCCGAGGCGGGGTGGGGGGCAGGTTAGTGATATGGGACGGGACAGGCCGGGGCGGGCCAAGCGGGGGGGAAGAGCGGACCAGGTTAGTCATGGGGGCGAGACGGGCCGGGCCAGGTTAATGATGTGGGGGGCAGAGCGGCCGGACCGGGAGCGGATAGGTCAGTGATGGGCTGGGCGCTGACGGGGGGGGTGATTGGCTTTAATCAGCAATCTCCGGGGCTAAGTAGGGGGGCAGGACCGGGCGCAGCCGCACGACCCATTGGGTGCTACCGCACGCCCTGGTTTGAAGTGGTTTCCATCATACACCGAGTTTATAGTCTCCCCTTTGCACAGACAGGGACGATGTTCACAAACAAGCTCTTCACACTGGTGCTGGTGGTGCAGCCCCAGCGGGTGCTGCTGGGCATGAAGAAACGTGGATTCGGGGCTGGGCGCTGGAATGGATTCGGGGGCAAAGTGCAAGCGGGTGAGACCATAGAGCAGGCAGCCCACAGGTGAGATGGACGGGGCACTGCATGGGCACACGTGCGTTGTGGGGATGTGGGAGGCAAGACCAGATGGGGCGCTGATGGGTCAGTTGGTGGCTTCTTACTCAACCAGAAGAGGCAGGCAGACTGGGTGATCCCTCTCCCTGAACTATTCAAACTGTCATTTGGCCAGGCATCTCCAAGTTGGGTGTGTAACAAGAGAGTATCACCACCTTCCAGCATCATAGAAACCATGAGTCAGCCTCCCTTTTTAAAAAATCATGAGATTGTTTAAATCATAATTTTTTAAAGCCAAAACACTGGGCGGGGGGGGGGGGTTTGAATCTTTCGCGTTCACGTTTTTCAAGTTTTTTATCTTCAAGGTTGAGGGCTGGAAACTTTCTTTGAAAAATGAAAGCTGAAGCTCTAAGAAAAACATCAAATATCAGGAGACTTGTGATAAAATCGCAAGAGTTGGCAGCACTCATCGGGTGATTTTTTTCCCCCCTGCTTACATAATTTATTACACAAGCCTCAGCCCAATTAAATATTACTTGGCAAGTCTGTAGTGCCTTTTGTGAAAAGATCACTGAGCACTTTGTAAACTAATTAAGTATGGCAGGTTGCTAAGGGTTATGTAGAGAATCACTTCACCCATCACTGAAAATCCTTGAGCAGTAAGTAGCACCTATTGCAATAGTCTCGTCTATGCACTACACGAGTTGAGGACATGACTGATGAATAGTGTGCTAAACAATGTAATTACATGAGTCGTCATTTGGACAGGATACCAAGTTAATATCTCTGTTTTACTAAAAGTGCCAGAGACTCTCGGGTAAACCTGTTTTAAGTTTCATCCAAAAGATAAGCAGCACAGTGTTGCCTTGGCTGTGTTGCGGGATTGTTTCAGTAAGGGCTCAAAGGAAGAGTGCCAGCTACTGAGTCACCAGTGCTGACTTTCTGCAGCACTTGGGTCTCTCTCCAATTATTGATTGAACCAGCCCACTCCTATTTGTCTTGAGGTCTGCTGGGATTGCAGCAGAAGATAACATGGCAGATGAGCACTGAATCAGTAATGTCATATAAAAATGAATGTCAGCTTCATATAGAAGAGTTCTTCTGACATAAGCCCATGTCTCCCAACCTCCCGGCCCTTTCACAAATGCCTGAATTTTCCTTCAGAACGGCAGGAAGTTTGGCATTGCTACAGTAAATCTCTGGGTATGTTACACTGTCTAGTTTTGCTTGTTTCTGGGTATTCCAAAGCTCCCTTCTGCATAGAGTAGTTTACTTTGCAGAGAACTGGTCTCTCACAGGGTTTCTTCAGCTGCATTTTATATAACAGCCTTTCAGAGAAGTTACTGACAGTTTATGGAGGGAGGGAGATGAGCCTCCTTTCTTCAGCATGCTGTTGGTTTGTTAGGCTCTTGCTACTGCTGAAAATAGGGTAGAGGGGATGGATGCTTTGAATAATTTAGCATTTAATAAGTACTTGTAAAGTACTCTCAAAGTACTGCACACACTAAGCCTCACACCAGCTCTGAAGTTCTCAAGTTACTAGACCAACATGTCGTGTTTCACAGATGTACACTGGCCCCTTGCACCATTTTGGATTTAGAAGCTTTGGCTTTAACATGTAGGAGTTTTTAGCCATATTTGGAATGCTTCAGCGATCACAAGCAGGGTGGTCAGCACCCCGACAAAGGATGTTGCTCTGGACTGTATGTAGCAGTTTGAGCTGGAGCCCTCTTGGAGCAGCTCATCAGAGCTGGCAGCCGTGTCACTCTGGGGAACTAACTCAGCCACCCATTGCACCAGCCTGTTGGATCTGGCTCTCTCTTGAGCCATCCCGTCTCTGGGTAGGGGTTTAGCATACATAATGACTAACTGTTACTCTGAGACACGTATCAAATTATGTTTCCTGCTTCAACAGTTACTGTAGCTCACTTGATACACAGTATCCCCTAAAGCCCCCAAATGCCCACCATTGTGCACCATGTCACATTAGCTTATTAAGGGAGCATTGAACTGGTTAATTATTTCTAGTTTAATTTTTTACCCATTATGTTTCCAGCCACTGTGTAAGGAACTGGACTGTACACATTTGTATCAAACAGCTTAGAAAGCCATAGCAGTGTCACATGCAGTGAAATGAAGCCTGTGAAATGAAGCTTTAAGCTCTATTGCTGAGAAAAACATCTATTTTAGACACTATCATCTATTCCAGGAAGATCAACTAAAATTAGTCAAACCGTGAAATCAGTGTGTAATTATAAAATGGGATTGATGCCAGAGAGAGGCTGATACCTTACAGAGGGTTCCCATTATACTTAACTTGGGAGTTGCTGCCCTGCCAAAAATAATAAAAAAAAAAAATCCAACTACACATTCATTTTAAAGTCAGGTCTAACTTTAATTAAATACTGTAGCTGAATATACAGTAGCTTTCAAACTATTAGTTATTGCTGTACATTGGAAGAGCCCTGGACTAAGCTCACCATTCCATATCTAGTCTGTCAGGGGCAGGTAAAAAAATGCCTAAAGTGCATTAAGGTAAATAAAGCAGTTAATCTATTTTTTCCTCCCAAGTGGCCCAAGCCCTGTGTGATGAAGTGGGGAACTGGCTGGCTGGCAACTTCAGAGAAGACAGCAGAATTTTAAGTATATCCTTTAGCCTCTCATACTTTCCCATAGTGTGTACACAGAAAGTTCACTGTAGTCACTGCTTTTTCGTAATGGTTGACACTATTTACACTGGTCTAAATAAGAAGTAAAATATTTGGCATCACATGGATTGTGATGATATCCTGCATCAGTATTGGAATGAAGCCCAGCAGTTCTGTCCTCTGAACACAGTTCACTACAGGTTTTTGTACTGGCAATTCAGACCTGCAAGCGAAAGCTGTTACATATTTGACCAATAAAATGCTGCTGAAGATTCATAATATCTGAATTAAAAGGGGAGCCAGATCAATACTTAAATGAGAGACCTTTTGTGGTACTTAGGTGCACATTGGAAGCGGAGATGACAAGTGAAAAGTAACACTCTTCTCTGGGTCAGTGGCATGGCCCCCAGCATGGTGTTTTCGGATCAGATGTAAACCTGGCTATCAGAGAAGAAACTGACACTTTTCATAACAATAGGCAAACCAACCCAACAGTTCTGAACAAATTTCAGCTTTGATCACTGCATTCAACCGTGGAAGCAGAGAAAGAACTGACAGGAAGGGGATGCAAAGCATGACAGTTTGTTAGCAAGAGTCAGGCTAACTGTAACCCTAATAACGCGAGATTTGTAGAAGCGAGGAATGTGTGAGGTGATGAGAAAGAACTGTATGAGAAGTTGTTGTGACCTTGTGTAGATAATGTGTAGATAATATGGAATGTAGACTAAGAGTCTACATTAGTGAGCAAAACAAGATATCAGAATGACCCATGTATAAACAAAATGCAGCTGTTGCTCATTATTGTCTGTAACAAAGGTATAAATGCTTGCTGTAATTGTTTACCTGTTGAGAGACCTGTTTAGCTCTCTCCCGCTACGCAATTGCTTGAGAAATTAAAGTATCTGACTTGCTGTACCCAAACAAAAAGTGAGAACTCTTATTCTCCAACACAACCTTCCAAAATCCCCCCTGCATTTCAGCTGGATATAGTATTGACTTCCTGTCTTGAACCATTACCTAGTATCGTGTGCTATTAAACAGCAGTTTCATTCAGCCTCGGCAGTAGCTGAATTCCATTGGTAAATGCAGTCATCCTTGTATATCTTACCTTCCTCACCAAGATGTCTGAGGGCTTAACTAAACTGATATTTGCAAAGCAATATGTGCTGCCTTGGGGAAGGATCCCATCGAGCTGCTCAGTATTAAAAGTGAGGCTGGAGGTGGGGAGAGTTTTCACCCAGCTGTAGTGTATCTTAAAAAGGATCTGCCCCTTGCAAGAGGAGTAATGGCTGAATAACTCGATTTAATACAAAAGTACAGAGTTCAACTGTAAAAGGCTAAACCTAATCTTTCCTCTACCTAATTTCTCCAGAATGTCCCTTTTTTTTAAATCTTGAATTTTTTCCTATAACAAGTATATACCATGTTTTTAATAAGCCTGCTTCCGGCAGTGGGCAGTAGGCTTGTCCTAAATCCACTGAGATCGCTACTCACAGGGTGCCATTTTCTGCCAATCCTCCCATGTAGATTCTGGAATACGCCATCATTATCCAAACAGCAAAATTCACACACACAAAGTTTTAACAATTCCCTGCTTTCTGGATTTCATGATGCATCATTTAGGAATGGCTCATTAGCCCTTGCTCTAATAGTTATCTAATGCAGGTGTGTGGTGCCAGCAGATTGCAGGTCCCAGCATGCTCTGAGCCATCTTGGTCCAAGTAGGCTGGCAATTTGGCATTCAGGCTGGACCATTACTTGCTGGGACCTATGCACTTTGCGAGTTACATTTTGCTCTCATCTTACACTGGCAGGTGCATCCTCCACACTCCTGACAAGTTGCCAATGTGACCGTAAGCTGAGGAAGTTTTAGGCACTCCTGTTTTAAAGATGTCAACTTCCCCCCTCAATTTCTCTGTCCACGTTTGTGCAAAAGATGCAGGCTGTCTCTCTGTCTTCACCCCAGAGTGGTGTGTGTGCGCAGACATTGACTGTTGAGTTTGTGTTTTCCCACTGCTCACCCTCATGCAAAGATCTGTTCCTTTTGCAGGGAGCTGCTGGAAGAGAGCGGATTGACCGTGGACAACTTGCAGAAGATTGGTCAGATCACCTTTGAGTTTGTAGGTAACTCTGAGCTCATGGAAGTCCACATCTTCCGGACAGACAGCTTTCATGGAGAGCCAACAGAAAGTGATGGTAGGAGCACAGGGCAAGTGGCAGCACAAAGATTTGTTTGCCCTTATTTCCTAATACTTAAAAGCATATGTGGAGAAGGGGTGATGCTGGTCCCATATTTACGTGGGCCTCTATGATGCACATTGAATTTCTCCCCACCCTCAATATTAGTTTTGGACTCTCGGCCCTCATTCTCCAGAACAGGGCTTGGGCCACTTGGGGGGGAAAAATAGATTAACTGCTTTATTTACCTTAATGCACTTAAGGCATTTTTTTACCAGAAGCGTCCTGCCAACATTTACTAGAAAGCGGGTGGTGGCTGAGTAGGGCTGTGTTGTCTGAGTAACATTAGCAGCCCATTGCCTCCCTGAGTCCTGCTTCTTCCTCTGGACAATTTCCCCCTACAATCCCTCCATAAGGAAGCCAGCTAGCTGTGCAAGCCCCCATGGATCATAGTTGTGGGAAGTGCTTTCCTTCCCTCCTAGGACACCCAGCATCAAAACAAAAGAGCAGTGAAATTTACCCAAACCTCTTTATTCTTCTTATTTTAGAAATGCGTCCGCAGTGGTTTCAACTGGATCAAGTGCCTTTCAGTCACATGTGGCCAGATGATGTCTACTGGTTCCCCCTACTGCTCCAAAAGAAGTCGTTCCAGGGCTATTTTAAGTTCCAGGGGCTAGACACTATTCTGGAGTACACGCTGAGACAAGTGGAGGAGGTTTAAGAGGAAACAGCAGCATTCCGCCCTCACCAAATACATCATTGCCCATATTGGGCCAGGCCCCAACTATTAGGTGTTAACATGCCATAGTAGTGGCCACTTTATGCAATGCTCTCCTTTCTCAGCAGAGGAGACTTATCTACTGGATGGGTGGAGGAGAAAAAGTGGCTTTTCTCTTGAGGGAGAACAAAAGACAGCAGTTCTTGTGCTGGTGCAGTTCCAAGGTGTGGGGTGTTTCAGTTATGGCTTGGTAATGACTCCCATAATTCAATGGTATCCCTTCTCCTTTAACAGTTAGATCAATAATCTGCTCCTTCTCAGATGGCTCTCTTTTACATTAAAATACTAAAATAAATATAGCATTCACGGTCTGATTCATGTTCCAGGGAAGTGACAAGATGATTTCTGAATGGCCCTTAAAAATAGTCCAGAAGCAGGAGACCTGCCCCCAGGCAGCATAGAGACTGGAGTGTAATAGTTAACCACTTTCTTCACAGGCTACAGCACTGGAACTAGCACTCCCCTTAATCCTCTTCCCCACCTATCCTACAAACTGGGACAGTGTGTTGCTTCCTCTTATTCAGGGCCAGCTGAGGGTGGAGCATTTTGGGGAGGCTGGGCATGGAACTGTGCATGGCTCTAGTTTTTTTCCTCTCAAAGCAGCAGGAGGTTGTGGCAATGGGTAAAATAAAGCACTGTGGTTGCATAGCATTGCTTAGGCCCTGCCCACGTTCTCATTTCTCTTAACCTTAACTATTCATTCACTGTTTAAATGGTTATTAACTGTCCCTCCTGCTCAGCTGTTCATGCTGACAAGTGAACAAGTGCTATAAAGCTCAGAACCTTCAGCAGGGGCTTTCTAATAGGTTTCACCCCAGGACAGCAGCAGGTGAGCCGGACAGGGCTGGGGTCTGCTCCCAACTCAGCATGCCGGGCAATGAGTTTAATCAGTCCATACCAGCAATAATAAAGCCACTCTTAACTTCTTATACAAGTTTTTTTTTGTCTTACAAATACATAGTTTTTAAACACATTGGAGATAGAATCTTGGAATGTAATATAATCTGTAAACATTTCCAGTCTATCAGCTGTAGTAATAGTTTTCTAATTCCTGCAGTTTGATAAAGTGCTTCATACATAAGACTATTTGAGCAAAGCAAAGATACAGGATTTTCTCAAGCAGGTAAAATTCACATCCTCCAACCAAGCCTGCCTCTTCCTATCTCCGTCCAGCTGCTCTGAATAGTCTGTACTAGTCAAAGTGCCATTCCTCATGCACATGGCAAGCCTGGGCTTGAAGGCAAAGGATAAGAGTTAGTGCCTTGTACCCCTGCCCTTCATTCTGTATTACAAACACTCTATTCCCTCTGATACTATTGCAGAGACCAGTATTTTGAATTCTGTCCTCACTTGAGCTGCTGCTTCATCTTTCAGTAAAGTCACAGTCTTGAACTTGTGCAGCTAGCCTGTTACAAATTCGGCAGTGACTTCCATGGGTGATCAAAAAGGAAGAGCAGCTGGAGCAGAGACAAGAAGAAAGCAAGGCACTGTTTAAACATAGTGATCCCATCAGCAAGTCACAGGTAAGGGGGGCAAGGGGGGAAGAGATTGATATTTTGGAAAGTTTCCCCATCTGTAAACCCTTCTGTGCAGCTGGTCAGAGTGGGCACCGCCTGTTGTCCCCTTCCGATTAGAAACAGCGGTGGCAATAGGAAAGGCAGGCTATATGGCTCTTTTGGTGGAAAGGAAACTAATTTCTGTACTGAAGAGTCAGGTTCTCCTCTCCGGCTTCATACTCATCTACAGACCTGGCTTCTTCAAGACATTCTGGTGCAGAGACACTTGCACTGAAAATTATAAGTCTGGATGCCTTATCTACAAAGTCACATCGCAAACGGGTGGAAGCCCCCATGAGGTCAATATGTGCAGAGAAAGCTTCCATTCAGAAAGGCACATTAACTCTTTGGTGCTAGAGCTTACAGCAGCAGCAGGTCTTGGCTAACTAGCATGCCCTGTTGAACTCATTTCCTGTTGTGCTTAACATCAATTCAAAACTAATTCCAGTTATCAGAAAATTTGGCAAGCTAATGGCCTACCAGCTCTGGTATTGGGAACTGCTTATTCAACGCATTATGTTTTGTTTTCACTATTTCTGTTTGTTAGTCTGAACATAGCATGGACCATGGAAGCAGCTGGTTCTCCTTCCTCTACATTGCATATGCCGCATAGAGAACTGAAGTCAGTTGGACTTTTCTACCCTGCACTCTTCCACAGCAGAGAAGTTGAAATAGACGCTATCTCTGCAAACTGCATTGACCCTAAACTGAGAGGAGAATACAAGTGCAGAAGCCCCTTCTCTGCTGCTGGAAGTAGTCATGCCACCACCATTTGGATTTCAGACCAGAATGGCTAAGTCTATAAAAATAGGTTTGCAAGTTAAAGCTTGAATGAACCACAGTATGAGAGAAAGATGCTCCACAGAGGGAGTAGTAACCAGGGCAGTCGCCCAGGATGTGGCATCGGCTGTATCAGGAATATGAACACGAGACACTCATTCTCTCTTGAAAGCTGCCCAAAACAGCAGATGTTGTTGAACGGCAACTGCAGTCCTCAGTGAAGCAGTGTATGCTCATCCCTGTGTTCATTCAGGACAAGGCGACTGCACGAATGGATGTATTCTCACTCAGAGCCACTCCAATGAACCATTTCTTTTTAAGATAGGTTAAGCCTGTGACATATATAAAGCTGATTATCCTACTGAATTCCACAGGCAGAGCCTGAAAGCACTGCTGCTTAAACAGCAATGAGCAGTTATCCCTTGGACAGCTAACTATTTAATATGTGCTTAAGAGTTTAGAAATAGTTGTTACACTTTCAGGCTTTTTATAACTGTGAACAGGGCAAAGTTTCTTTCGAATAGAGCCAACTCTTTGCTATGCTGACGATCACCCTCTATCAGACAACGGATACAGGCAATGCAACTCCCCATTTGATTATATGGGAGATCCAAACTTTTCCAAGACAATGTACAGTATTTTCTTATTTTGATTATTTGTTTAACTTAACAGTAGACAAACTACTTTTATTACAAAAAAAAAAAAGATTTATGCTGGGGGTGCAGGAGCTGGGGTTGACCACAACCAGGCAACACATTTTTAAAAGCATTGATACTGTCTGCACTAGTGTTTAAAATCACATTAAAATGTAATGTAAGCTAACATAAAGCAACCTATCTTCCTAGTCTAAACAAGGTCAAATGGAGAAATGTTTCCGGTCTACCACTCAGGATGGTGGTTTATTATTACACTGTACATATACATTTATGGTCTTAGCAATTTGTCCTGGTTTGTGAATAGAATCTCTTCTATATTGCTTTGTATTCTCTGCCAAAGATTCACTAGCGCCTGTCTCAGGCTCTTGCAAAGCATGGTAGATTAGTTGCAAGGGAAACATTTTGAGCAAGCATTAGAAAGAGTTAGCACTTAAGCTGCTAACACGCAACAAGCAATGCATTCTGTGTAAGACCTGTTTTTACATTCACCCCTTTAAGAGTGTCAAAAGCCGCAGCTCTCCCTAGCCCCAGCACCAAGAAATCGACCCACACCGGGCACATTTACACTGCATTAATAGAGTGTGGCTGCAGTTCACATAGCTAGTTTAATCAAGCTAGCTTGTGTGTGAGTAGGAGTGAAGCAAGAGCAGCATTGGTTTCAGCATGGGCTAGTCATCCAAGTAATTACCTGGGTTCTGGACACATTTATAGCGCTGAATTGTGCACTGCCAGGGCTTCACTGCTCCCAGTAGCTGAGCTAGCTAGAGTAAAGCGAGCTTGGCTATGCCTACACATGCTGTAGTCACATCTGATGATTGCAGTGTAGACAAACTCAGTGTCCTATTTAGGACAATCTAGTGTAGCCCCTGTCCCACAGTGGTGATTTCTCAAAGATGGAAGGGTCCTGCCTGTCCCAGACACCAGAACACTGATTAGCTTATTGACATATGTCAAGTAACTTTGGTTATTTCAATCATAGTTTCTCTTGCAGCAGAAACTAGCCAACACTATATACAAGAATCAGAATTCTAGAAGTTGAAGATATCCCACTTTTAATGGGCAAGTTACCTAGAATAGGGAAATAATTATGGTCCAAATTTGACAGCTCATTCTTCCTAGTCAGTGTGTTTCCTTTTCACTCACTTGAAGCTTATTGCCTCCTTCACCTCAAGGCCTTTGTCTTCATCTTCAAGAGACGATGATCATGGTGGTACTGCCAAAAAAGAGTAGCAGCATCACCATGATAAATACTGACTCTTGCTGATGAACTGAACATTTTCAGTCCTGTCTTGGTAATGTAACAATTGATAGTAGATCAGAGGGAACATCAGCCTTAGCCAGTTCGGGCTCTTACAGGCAGCCGTCCTCTGAGGATACCAGCGTGTAACAGACACCCAGGAGTGAAGACACCAGCTCTTCCCAGGAAAGTTGATCACCCCAGAACTGCCCTGCTTCAACAGTATGAAAAGTTATCCCTTTCTAAGGGGTGTATCGTAGTTTCAATCAGCTATTTTCTACACATGTGACTGGCAGACTCCCGTAAGAAATGCTGTTCAGCAAGGTCATCTTTGGCCACACATTACCACTCATGAGCAAATATGCCCTGTGACATGAGTTCAACTCCCACACTGGGAAACATCACATCCAGCACTGACCCACCCAGCAGAGCTAGAGAGCCAACCAGAACTTTTCCCCAGTTTTGCATGTGGATCTAGCAATATGAAATCAAACACCTAACCAATGAACCTGGGGAGAAAGGGAGGCTAGCCTTCAGCTCTCCTTACCCACATATGGCTCTAGGTTGGGCCCCAAGCTTAAATAGCAAGGAATGCTTCAGACATCCTGTGTGACTCAGCACTTTACACATTGGCCAGTATATGTGTTGATAGCTGTAAGAGGGTAGTTAGTATGAGCAGCATGAGACTTCAGCAACAGCTGAACTGCAGCATGTGATGTACCAAGCCACTTCCAGTCCTTAGGCAGAGGGCCTCTGGGGCAATGAATCTCAGTCGTACCCCAAGGCACTTCAAAATAAAGAACAAAAATCAGGAGATTGTCTCGCTCTTTCTCTGTATGTGCTTCGGTTTCCAGTCTGTCCATAAGTCAGAGAGCAGCTCAAAGCAGCAATATAAAAATAGCTGTTTGGAGGATTCCTTTTAATAGCTGGAGATAGAGGTCACACCCCTCTCTTGACCACACTTTGACTTGGTCAGTGTCAGATCTCAGAGCGTTAATTGGCAAAGAAGTTGCCCTCTGGGGGTGACAATGGTGGTGTTGGCATGTTGTGGGGTCCCACAAACAGG